CAGATTTATATCACATACATATTGTATGTATATCAGACACTCATATCAGTAGTATATTAGATATAATATCACATACACATATCAGTAGTTAGATATATTACAGATATATTACATATGTATATCATTTGGATAAAGGTGTCATGCTATATTTGATAGTAATTATTCTACTAAACTTAGAAGATGTCTTTGTAATGTTTGCAACAACTCCTTTCTTTTATACTAATTCATTTCAAACTTGGATATTTATCACATAATTATTCTCAATTACATTCCTCTAATAAATTATCAACCTAAAACTCACCTTAATAACCGATCAATTATATTTAATGCTTCAGTAAACTCAAAATTCTCAAACCCTATTGCTAATTATAGAACTGTAGTTAGTTTGAACATCATTCGACAAGTCGAAAAGCATAACGCCGCCATAACTTGTGAACCTCTTAACAAACGGCAGCACTTCCTTTATCAGCACCTCCGGTGCCACGTACCCATCTCCGGCTTCTTCGGATGCCGGAATTCCCAAGTAAAATTTCCTCGCCGGAATTGAATGTGTCCACCGCATCCACGACCACCAAAAGCCCGACGGGTTAACGGAATCATAACGGCATTGCCGGTCGTCAAAAAATCTAACCCAAACATAGTCGAAAAGTCCAGTGTGAAGCGATTCAGTTAGGTATTTGTCGGGAAAACGGCACCCCGGAGCCGCCGTTAAGTACACTTTACGGTTACTTTGCCGGCCATAGTCGTGTAGCCGCCGAGCAACCATGGCGTAGTAGTGGGAGAACTCGACTCGCTCAATCCTGATATCAAATAGTATATTTTAAAATTTTAATGCATTTGTTTAGCCATTGTCAAAATTGGGAAAAAAGAAAAGAAAAGAAAATCTGGTTTCTAATTTGATGTAATATCTTTTAAAAAATATTTAAAAATTAAAGATAAAAAAAACTCTTTTACCTTTGACAATGGGAAATTTAGATAAAGATAAGATTAAAAAAATTATAAGTTTTTTTTAATTTAATAGTAATTTAGGGCGTTTTCATTTCTTGTTTCTAGTTTATAATTTTGCAACTAATTATTGACMTGTTTGGTAACGTTCCAGTTTCTTATTTCCTTTTCTTTATTTTTAATAAAGAAAATGAGTTKCATGACTCCAGTATATATGAATTCAACAATATTTTTATTTATGTTTTAGAACAAATTAAAAATAAGAACTAGAAAAAAGAAACTTGTCTTYGTAGTTTTCAAAATTTATATACAATTTTGATAATGTTACCAAAGAGAGACAATAAACAAATGAGAAACGTTAATAGATGGGTCCTATATCTTTATTTCTTATTTTTTTAGAATATTCTCAAAATTGTATAGAACTTTTAAAAATAATCAAAACTAGTTTCTTTCCTTTATTGTTCACATTTCTAACTTGTTCCAAAACATAAATAAAAATATTGTTAGATTATACTTGAATTTATGGATGTTGGGTCATACAATTAATTTTTTTTAAACAAAAGGAAGAAAAAGAAATAAAAACATTGGCAAACAAGTTCTTAATACCTGAAATCTACACCGTCCAATGGTACATCACCAAACGGTCGTAGTGACGTGGAGTGGCCGCCGAGGAAGTTGTTCCAGATGTAGTCAGCAAGGTCAACGGCTTCGGCGGCGGAGGAGAGGAAGTAGCTTCCGTGAGGGCCACCAATGGAGAGCATGACTTTAACGCCATCGTTTCGGCAGTTGAGGACGCCAACGCTCACATTCCGGCAGCCGTTGGAGACGGGACTGCAGTGGCGCGTTAGGTTCACTTGCGGCGGCCGGCCGTTGCCGAATGTAGAGAGGAACCCTATGTTGATGATCTGAAATTTTCCGGTGGCGCAGGCGGCGGTCAGCCGGCCCTCTCTCGTGTTCTGGCCCCAGTAAGTGGCAATTCCGCCGCCGGTAATTGCTTCCGAATAACAACCCAATATAGAAGCGAGAATTATGAGGAGAAGAAAACGTGGAAATGAAGAACAAAATTGAGATTCCATGTTGAAATTAGAAAGATTGATGTGAGAAATTGGTGGTTGATTCGGGTATTTATATATGAAAAGTAATTAAATTGGTTGTTCCAATTGCTTTTAACGGTCAAGAAATGCAGATTTTTAATTATTTATTTTGTAAATAGTCAACTTGGAATGGTCCAAAAGCTAAACGGTGGATTCTACTTGCCTTAGYGGTGGTCAATCATGTTGACAATTTTTAATCCAAAATACAAATTTTTTTTTTCTAAGAAAAAAGAAGCGAGGTTGAAAATTATAGAGAGTGAAATGAAATGGGAGGAAGGTCATTGTGATCGTATAAAATGCCTATATATAATATATTTCAATATTTGTAATTTGTAGTATGTCCAAAAAGTCAATTTTAGTTGGGAGTTTCAAGGGACATGTCACAACAGCTTGGACACTASGATGGTCTTGGATATTTGTCTCTATCTCGAGAAAGTTCTATGATTTTAGTATTTAAGTGAGTGGTTGCCGAAACGAGTATAACTTAGCAGTAATTGGCATGTAAGTTCGATCCACCCCACATGTTAAACTAAAAAAAAAGTGAGTGGTTACCGTTAGTGTTGATGGACATCTAGAGTTCAATGTTTTAGTGTGTTAAAAATTGATATCAATAATTTTTAATTATCGTATAATTTTAAAAAAAATGAGAAATATAAGATTTTTTTTAGTACAAGTGGGATGAGAGAATTCGAACTCATAACTTTTCTATCAGACACAAGTGTCAATTACCTAAACTCATGTTGGTGTGAACTTATATGATAAAATTGTAGCATAAATGAATGGCCGTGGATTTCTCAACCAGACATATTAAATCACTTTAAAATATAAAATAACTTTTTATTGGCTAATTTGTAGTCTTAAAAATATGCCATCATCAAGAAGCATTCACATTGATTTTACTTATTTTTCTTTTCTTTTTAAATTGAAAATATTATATCCTAGAAGGCTAGAAGTCAGCCGATATATCTTGGTCAAAGTTATCGATTTTTACAATAAATATTATATGGAAGCTTCTGTTCTCCAAGTCAAAATCGAATTCAAGTTTGTCAACCATGACATAATAAAGAATTACAGGCTATTAGTTGTTAGATCTTATTTATTTTATTATTTAAAATTAGAAAGAAAAATATTTGTTCCGATTCAATCAAGATTAAATTCAATAGATTAGGCTATATATATTAAATATGTTATTAGGTTGTTTACCTTATTTTATGGAAAGGTATTTTTCATCATTCGGTTGCTTTTAATTGTCAAATTGGCCGGTTCTCGTAACTCTTTTGGTTGAAGAAACTTGGTCGAATCCTATTTTTGTACCAAATGYTCGAGCTTTAATATCATATTAATATTTATGGGTTCTATCTCAAAACCAATTGGTAAATAAATGAGTAGTTCATGTCTATCATAAACCTAATGTAAAATTCATAGATCGTGGCTTTTTTGGTTCATCAATCTTTGTCGGATCTTATTTTTTTATCAGATGCTCGTCGAGCTTGTTGAGCTCCGATACAATATTTATATTCATGGTGTTCCATCTCAAAACTAATTGGCAAGGGGATGAGTAGCTCGTGTCTATTATAAACCTATGTAACGTCCATTTTCTTTTCAATATGGTAATCTTAACATGTCCCTCCTAGGTTGGCCTATCCTACTATGTACTACCTTTAACACGAGTCAATATTATTTTTTTGGTACTTCAATCAAGGAAGTGTCTCGTTTTGTGTGTTGGTATATTGATTGAGAAGCTTTGTAATTGTTTCCTAAAAGAAAATACATTTCTTTAAATAATATTTCTCAAAAAGCCATCATTTAACGTGCAACTCAATACTATATATATACTCGATACAATGTCAAGGTGACAAAGGATAAACAATTTATCTCGTCTTTTAACCACAATGAATGACTCATTGATCCAAAGAATGTAAGATAAATTAAGAAGGAATGAGTTCACATCCTTATAATTACCCACCATAGCCGCTAAGAGTTAGTTGGATATAATATTTTTAAAAATTAGTTTTATTTCAGTAATGTTAAAAAGAAAATGAACGTGGGAAGTCCGCCATCATTACGACCGTTTGAGGACGTCAAAAGGCTATTTAACAAACAAAATAATAGGAGGAAAAATCACACTAAACTGACCCACTTTATTCATTAAACAAAAAACACACTTAAAAACTGATTACATATTATAAAAAGGATCAATATTTATATCGAATTAATCCCAATTCCCATTTTTTATTATTTATTTTGACTAAGGAAAGCATTTTTTTTCAAAACAAAATATTAAAAAGAAACAGTTGGTTATTACATAACCGAGTGGAAACCAAGATGGAGGAGATGTTCAATTTTCCATACACAGTCCATTTGGATAATCTAAAATATTGCAATGGCACCCATCATAGCAAAAACCCCTTTCAATATTATGTCGACTTTTAAAATAGTGGTAATGAGTGAAAAATAAATTAAAGTCTAATTATTAGAATGTAACTTAATTAATCGTTGAGATTTGAATTTGATTAATTTTAATACTTTATAACGACATCAAATTGAAACTAACACAACAATTTAAAATGTGAACTTTTTCTCTAGACAACTTCACAAGTTCCGCCGCATGTCCTGAACCCTTGAGAACCGCCGTATTTGTTGCCCATCGGGAACATCGCCGATCCACTCTCCGTCGCCGCCGACGACGATCCACATGCTTTTGGGTTGATGGCCGAACTATATCCTCTATCAAACGCCCTAGACCAGAGCATCACG